TCCTCGCGATAAGTAGGATCTACCAGCACAACACTAAGAATATTTGTCAATATACATAGTTAGGTAGAGTTACATGGTTTGTAAAGCAGCGATATGCATATACTCACTTGTCAAACATACTGTATGTGCTAACCACGGGAAAGATATTCAAAGGCAATTCCTTCATTTCATCGCCTATTTCTATTTTCCCACTTTTTTCATCATATACAACTTTAGGCAATTTGAGCGTGCTAAGTGCTGAAGCGCAAGCCAAAATTGAGGCATCGAATACGCCACCATCAACTTCCAAACCAATTATATCTATATAAAGACACCATACAAGCTTGCCCGGGCATATGCACAGATCTTCCAATTTCAGGCAATGTGATTCATTTAAAATCCTATATATAAAACATTCCAATATTTCGGCAACATTTTGATTATTACTCGATGCTGCAGCTTTAGAAAACGATGTAAATGACATATCTACATTGGGTACAATGTAGCCAGCTAGTGGTGTAGCTGCACGCGGCTTTGATAACTCTGCGCGTATGCCACATAGAATATTCGAATTTCCAATTTTTGTTGCACTCGACCCTAATGAATGTTGAAATGAGTCAATATTCACGCCAATCGGGCGATATTTATCAAAGGCGCGACCGTCCAGACGGATATCATTTTCGAGAAAATCACGAAAATGTTTGATGGGATAGATCAATCTGAAATGATACAAATTTTAAAATAGGAAATACATACACAGGTATGATAAGTTATAATGGAATGGAAATTTTATGCATAAATAAACGAATATGACTTAAACTTGTATAATTGGCATAAAACTGGATAGTTTGATTAGTTTTTTTTTTACAAACTCGCGCGAAACTAAGTGGCAGCCACTTTTCATAGGTTCTGCGTTATCTTGTTTCTTTTTCCGCCTCGTGCACTATCGACGAAATACGTCTCCGCTCGTAAGCATAAATACACGTGCAACTCCGTGCAATTATTTTTAATTTAATTTAGCATTTTATAAAAAATAAACTTACTTATGTTGTTCAGCCATAACCAATTTGTAAATAAATAACAAAAAACTTGTGTTGAAATACCAGTGGAACAGTGTTGCCACAAAAATTTACCAAATTCCTCAAACCCAAATGAAAAATCCTCAAAATCCGAACAAATGACCTAAAATTTTCTTATTGCAGATATGAGTATTGTGTACTGCATACTATTTACAGGTACTTAGTATAAAAATTAATTACATTCTTTAATTCAATTGGTACAGTTGTTCTTGCGGTTCAAACAAAGTATCACCGTTGTTTTTTATGCCTTGGTTTGTATATAATATTGCTGCAACTATATCAGTGCTCAATCCGGTTCTCAAGGCAATCCTAGTTGAAACGACGTGACGGTGACGCATGTGTACTCGTCCCTTTTGTTCTAACTCCCACTCTTCCACATGCGAGCAGAATTGAATTCAATACTTGAAATGTGTAAAAGCACGCTTGCCGCGATTTTGCAAGTTCAAAACACATAAGTTGAAAAGTAACGATGGGATGAAAAAAATTATCGATAACATTTTGAATATTTAGCAGCAAATGCAAATGTACTTATATATCGAGAGAAAATTCCCCAAAAATTCCTCAAAATAAAAATCCTCAAAAAAGGAATTATTAAAGTGGCAACACTGCAGTGACAGCTAAGTACAGGGTGCTTATGATGGCTTAAAATCTTTTTTATAGTGCTTGCCAGTGTTGCCAGAAAAATTTCGTTTGGAGCTGAAACGGTCGAAAAAGGAGCTGAATAATATTAATTCTAGATAAAATGAAGAGCAAAATTTTTTTTAAGTTGAGCATTTATTGACGTAAAGTTGTGTTTACATTTTCCGCCATTTTAATAAACACAACGAATTTTATAAATTTAAGTGCTGAAAATACTTTTAAAACTAAAATAAGGTGCATATATTTCGAATTCATTGCTACAGCATTTATGTATATGAATCATTTTTTCGCAAAATTTTTCTGAAAAGTTTTATTTTCTTCTCTC